TGTTCGATTTTGTCTTTTGTAAGACAAGAACAGTCTCTACAAAAATAGTAAGTTTATTCATATGCTTCTAGTGGTTTCTGAATTAATTTGTGTTTTTATTTTTCAGGTCAGAAATTTCTAGGAGAAATGAAAAATATGGTTAAAGAATTCAACAACTTAGTTTTTTCAAGTTTTTTTTATTTTTTAATATATATAAGCACAGTTGAAAACTTTTTATTAATTCCTTTGTATATACTTTTGAACATTTAACTTTCATTTATGAAATATATGACGTTATTCCATTCAATATATGGTTGTGATTCAAAATATAGAATATATTGTGCATTACATTCTTCAAATGCATATAACGTGTGATCTTATCTAATTATTAATCACATGTTTTATTAGATATTAATCATACTTAAAATCTGTGATCTAAATGTTTATTATTACATGTTTTATTAGTTATTAATTACACTTAAAAGATGTGATCTAAATATTTTTAATCATTCTTAAAAGGTGTAATGTACATGTTATTAATCACACTTAAAAGGTGTGATCTAAATATTATTAATCACACTTAAAAGGTGTGATCTAAATATTATTAATCACACTTAAAAGGTGTGATCTAAATATTATTAATCACACTTAAAAGGTGTGATCTAAATATTATTAATCACACTTAAAAGGTGTGATCTAAATATTATTAATCACACTTAAAAGGTGTGATCTAAATATTATTAATCACACTTAAAAGGTGTGATCTAAATATTATTAATCACACTTAAAAGGTGTGATCTAAATATTATTAATCACACTTAAAAGGTGTGATCTAAATATTATTAATCACACTTAAAAGGTGTGATCTAAATATTATTAATCACACTTAAAAGGTGTGATCTAAATATTATTAATCACACTTAAAAGGTGTGATCTAAATATTATTAATCACACTTAAAAGGTGTGATCTAAATATTATTAATCACACTTAAAAGGTGTGATCTAAATATTATTAATCACACTTAAAAGGTGTGATCTAAATATTATTAATCACACTTAAAAGGTGTGATCTAAATATTATTAATCACACTTAAAAGGTGTGATCTAAATATTATTAATCACACTTAAAAGGTGTGATCTAAATATTATTAATCACACTTAAAAGGTGTGATCTAAATATTATTAATCACACTTAAAAGGTGTGATCTAAATATTATTAATCACACTTAAAAGGTGTGATCTAAATATTATTAATCACACTTAAAAGGTGTGATCTAAATATTATTAATCACACTTAAAAGGTGTGATCTAAATATTATTAATCACACTTAAAAGGTGTGATCTAAATATTATTAATCACACTTAAAAGGTGTGATCTAAATATTATTAATCACACTTAAAAGGTGTGATCTAAATATTATTAATCACACTTAAAAGGTGTGATCTAAATATTATTAATCACACTTAAAAGGTGTGATCTAAATATTATTAATCACACTTAAAAGGTGTGATCTAAATGTTATTAATCATACTTAAAATGTATGATCTAAATATTAAAAGGTGTGATCTAACTTAAAAAGTGTGATTAAAAATGACCCATTTTAGTCACACTCTCAAAGATCACACTTTGATAAAACTTAAAATGTGTGATTAAATAACATACATCATACAAAAAAAGTGTGATCTTTATCTATTTTTGTAATAGTAATGGTTTGAAAATTTATATTTACTTAGATGGCAGCTTCCAATTGCTTAATTATAGTGGGTTGTGGCAAGGAGTTCAAATTTACGGATTTTGTTTTATGGTGCTTAAACATAAAAATGACTGATTTAGGGGTGTAGGGGCAGTCACATTTTTTAAATTTTAAAAAAATCTCATATTATATTGATAATTAGTAAGATAATTTTCATGGTTTTTTTTTCAAGAATTTTAAGAGACACATTTTGCTTCTTTAAGAAGAATTAGCAAAGGTTAATTGTTCTCTCACCCAAAAAATAAATAAATAAAGAAGGAAATAAAAAATAGCAATATGCATATGAACAGTTCATCCGAGATAATTCATTGAGAAGAAACTTATAAAGATGCAATAAATATATTAAATAAAATTTCAATTTCAAAATAAATTTTCTGTTAAAATACTAAATAGCAGATAGTGAAACACAAGAGCTGTTAATATATTTTATGTTAGTGTATATTAATGTATGCTTACTTTATGCTTACTTTAGTGCTAGTGCTGTTAGCCTTTCGGCTGTATGTAATAATAGTGCTTCGGCCACTCTCAGTCCCTCTCCTATATAAGGAGCCCCTCACCATTTGTAATATACAACATTCAATACATTATTCATAATACATACAATTTATTCTCTCTCTATCAATTTATCTTACAATGGTTTTGATAATGATATAGGCACTTTACCAAAACAGGCATAAGTTAAAAAAGATTATATATTAAAGGTATTAATTTATTTATTTTTTGGTTAAAAAAATTGCCAATATATAGAAAAAATACGTATATTTACTTCCTAAAAAAATATCATAAAGTGCACAACTCATAAGAAAATATATAAAACCGTCTAGTTTACAAGGCAAAAAGTCTATTTTTTGCAAACATAAAGAAAATATTTAAATAAAAAAATTACAAAAATATTATTAGAGTGAAATGTCAATGACATTTTAAAAATTATGAGAACAATAATGGTTGTTTTGATTGAAAATGAAGAGACTACTATATACCATATTATCTATAAAAATTTTATGAAAAATTTTGAATGTAATGGTGATGCCATTATTAGTGACATGCAAGTATAAGTAATCTCACTATAAAGATATGAAATTTATTGGATTGTTAGTTACATTGAACATGTAAGGCTCACTTTCTATATGTTTATTTACTATTAGTGGGTGATATCACATACCAATCATAATGTGGTATTATTATTACATTGAATTTTTAATCAAATTTTGTATAAAAAAATAATTTATCATTATATAATTTTTTTTAAGACTTATATCCATATATATTTTTTTGTATTGTCCATAATATACTAGTTACAAATAATATTATTTTTTTGATGTTTCTCGAAATCAATCGTAAAAACTTGCGTGAAATATTTTTGTAAAAATTTTCGATATCGTAATTAATAAGTGCCCCCTCTAATTTAATTTTCTGGCTCCACCACTGCAAACTAACCACATCGTTATTGCTCATACCCGCATTAGACATGAGTGAGACTTAAGGAACAATTAAAAAGAAAAGGGATCTAAATTCCTTCTTTCTTTGGATGGCTGCCTTCCATGTATCTCATAAAACCTGTTTTCAAGAGAGTTTTCATTATTAAAAAAAAACACACACACACACAACAACAACAACTATCATTTTTTGCATTTGTCAAATTTATACCAAGGACAAATAACGAGCAACCTTTGAGCCAAAAGATCATGACAATGCAAGACAAGCCCAAGTGAACTTTAGATTATGTAAATTGTTATTAAGATCCTAATTTTTATTTAGTGTGTTCTGCTTGTCATGCATTTTTTAGTTTAAGCCACATTTATAGTCATCAAGAAATGATATTAAAGTCTTATCATTCATTGATGTCAAGAAGTCATAGAAGCATTAGGGTCTCATCAAGCCTCAGCGGCTTTATCTTTTCTTTTATTTTTTTTTTTCTCTTCAATCTATTGTGTGTACCAAACAAGCCATCATGTGTTTTGGTCACTTTCTTCAATCTACCAAAGCCCAATTGCCAGTATCTCAAATCTTTTAAGTACTCAACTTTTTATCCTCTAGTTCATTAATTCTACTAGATCAATGAGCATTGAATGATAAATGGCAATTACTAGCATAAAAGACTAATAATAATCCAAGTAGAAATTGATTGAAAAGAAAAAAAGTTGAAACAACAAAAACAGAGGACAAACAAAAAAAATGGGCAAGAGAGCCCAAGGGAACATACCAATTGCAAAACAGATACCCAATACAACCTCCAACTCCCAACAAAACTATCTTACTAGCTGCCATACAATTGTAATGAAGAATATTAACGAAAAGCTCATGCTCTATTTGGATCGGGGATTTGTAGAGGAAAAATAAAGTGAAAAAATAATAATAATTTTAGCATCTTTTTACTTTACATTTTCTTTTTTCTTTTCCTTTCTCTTTACCAATCAATGAAAAATGTTACAATCAAATGAAAGCCATAGATCACAATGTAAAAACATATGGAAAAAGTACCTCCGTCGTTGATATCATCAGTTCTGCGAACAAACAACAAGAGCATGGCAACTTGATGGCGCGCCTGAAGAGTATTGATGACAAGCTCGATTTGAATCGCAACTTGATAAAAATGGTCTTCAGGCGCGCCATCAAGTCACCATGCTCTTGTTGCTTTTGTGTCGCCTCTATAAAAATGCTTCTTCGCAGCGTGCTAGTCGAGATACCAATGGACAGATGCTCAAGCCCGAATTGGTGTCAGAGTGATTGCCACCAAGGAAGAGGAGGGGGCTTCCTAATCACCAAAGACATAGCTGCAACAAAAAAATCAATTATAAGTTACATGGAATAAACCCTATACCTACATTTCCCCTATATTTTTATTTTCATTTTCAAATCTCTATCCAAATCACGATCCAATCCAAGTTAACATAACACAAACTATTCAGTGCTAACAATTGCACCATAGGCATTGTTTCAAGCCTTATTGTCTAGAGGTTATTTAGCTAAAATAATCGATATAATAAAATGTCTCATCCAATCAATAATCATTTCTTTTTTTTTTCTCACAGCTATCAAATCAAGTAAAAAAACAAAAACTATTATCCCAAATATAACTTTTTTTTAGCCAGATTAAAATAATTAAAAAGTCAAATTATCAACTAAAATAGCCTATTCCCAATCGGACCTTTAATGTTGGAAAGTGTATAAAACAGTGTCATGAAAATATGTAAAAAATGTATTAATTTCAATAAAAATGCATTAAATTTAAAAAAAAAATGCATAAATATGTGTTCTTCACTTTTTTGTCCTGTTAGTTATGCACCACCAATTAGCAAGACCCAAATCAAAATTTAAAATCAAAATCAAAATTAAAAGACAAATGGTAATAAGCGTTCCCTAAGAATTATTTAATGTTGAAAAGTGTCACGAAAATATGTGAGAAGGTGTATTGATTTCAATAAAAATGTATTAAATTTAATAAAAAGTGTCTGTGTTCTTTAATTTTTTTTTATTTTTTACTTGTGGCCTAGGGATTTGTTAGCAAAACCCAAATCAAAATTAATAAACAATATATATATATATACCTGTGGAGATGGAGTCTAGAAGAAGAGAAAGGAAAGCACAGATTGAAACGACCTCGCGGCGGAGATGACCGGAGCGAGAGCGAGAGTGAGACTCTGACCCCCAAACTTTTGTTTGCCCAACAATCCAACGCTCCAACTTATTGCAATTCCCTTTTTATGGGTAATTGACATTTTGTCCCTTTATCTTTGACTATTTTTTTAACTTTTTGGCTCTTAAAATAGTATTTTTTTTTCTCACTTTGTCTTTTTGTTTTAATTTTATTTTAAAAGATAACTTATTTTTAAAATTAAATAAAAAATGATATATTGACCTGATATAAAAATATTTTATTATATGTGACTCACATTTTTTATACAAATCCAAATATTAATATAATAATACACTAAACAAGTCTAAAAGTCTAATTTGAAGTTTATTTACTTAAAGAACAGAGTTATTAACGAGCCGAGCTCATAAACTGCTTGTTTTCTTTGCAACCCTATATCCAAATAATCAAAAAATACTTAAAATTGTAAAAAGTGCAAGTCATTAGCCATGTTTTGGTTTGGTTTTCCAAATCTTTTTCGAAAAAGAAAAAAATAATTTGACAAAATCAAACAACAAAAATATATTTTTAAAAATTATTTATGCTTTCTAAAAATGATAAAACTATATAAAATTGATAAGTGCTTTTAATTTTTTTATGCTTTTTAACAAACTAATTTATAAATATGTAGGGTATATTTGGTAACGTTTACGTTTTTAGTTTATATTTACAAAAATTTTATAAACTGATTTTTGTTTATTTTTTGTTTATTTTTAGAAAAACATAAACTAAAAACGCGTTTAGTAATTGACAAAATGTTTACAAAATTTACAAAATATAAAAAAGAGTGAGAAATTGCAAGTAGTGGTAGGTGGCAGTGGAAGACGGTGGTGGAAAGTAGTGACGGTGGGTGGTGGGTAGCTGGTGGTGGTAGGTGGTGGCAGGTGGGTGGGTGACGGTGGCGGGTGGTGGGTGGTAACGAGTGGGTGGTTGTGGTGGTGGTGGCGGGTGGCAGGTGGGTGATGGTGGGTGGTGGCGGGTGGGTGGCGGGTGGTGGTGGTGGTGGATAAGTGGGTGACGGTGGTGGGTGGTAGGTGGTAGCGAGTGGGTGGTGGTGGTGTTTAATTTTTGTGTGCGGGTGCTCAAATTAGATGGGAAGAGGTTTAGACTCTTCCAAGTTACAGTGACAAGTTCCTGAACACAAAAGTTGGTCTCCTCCCAAATTTCTGGATTCACCTGCACAAATCTCTGTGATATTCATTATCCTTTTTTTTTTTTAATTTGTGTCATTATATTATTGTTTCTGGTTTTGGCACATGTTAAGATATTTAGATGAAAAGTGATTTATTATTTTGTTTTGCAGGGTGGCATACCTATTTTTGGATAGCTTTCATTCCTTTCATCGTGAGTTGTTCTAATATAATCTGTGTACTTGGTCATGCATTTTTTTCCTATCATAATTGTCTTCTCAATGTTTTATTTTACTCCTCAAAAAATTATGTTTAATGAATATGTCAATTTTTTTATATCTTGTGTTTGCTTGCTGTTTTATCTGAACTTGTATAAAATCCTTTGAATTTCAAGTTTCAATTCCCATAAGACGTATTTAAATTTGTGAAGAGCATGTGCTCCACCTGCACATTGTGATCTTTGAGTAGCTATTTTGTCCTGGGTGCATGTTAACGGTGGTGGAAAATGGTGGTGGGTGGTGGCTAGTGTTGGGTAGTAAAAAAAAAAAAATTCAAAACTTAAAACGGAAACACATTTTTTGTGTTTTCATTTTTTGGCCAAATTTATAAACTGAGACCACTGATTTATAAATCAAAAATTTTACCAAACAAGTTTTTATTTGAGTTTTTAAAATTTTTGTAAATATAAACAGAAAACTAAAAACGTAAGTGTTACCAAACGACACCTTAAATATCAATATACCACCTAAATGGGCTATGTTCTTATGCAAATTATTACATCACAATCTTACCTGTTCGAGCAATCTCAAGAGGTCGTGGTATTGATGTCCAGCCGGTGTGCCCACGATCTGTGGAATCAGACGAAACGCCTGAACACATGTGCTTTCAATGCCTTTTTTCCGAGCATATTTGGCGAGTTTCTCGGCTTGGTCTTGATTTTGATGCAGTTGAGGCAATGTCAGTATAGGAATGGATCAAGTTTTGGTTCCAGCAAGCTTCGGACAAGGATGCAATTGCTGAGTCTGTCAAAATCCTTTGGGGCATTTGGTTGTGAAAGCAGAATAATCATATGACAAAAGAGAAAAGAGATTTTGTATTCAATTCATGTGTCTATGATACAAAGCTATGGGTGTATATATAGGACTGTGAGGAGTGCAGTACAAGGGAAAGAATAAGGAAAGGAAAGAATAAGGAAGGGAGAGAATAAGGCAAGATTTGAACATACCTAATAGGGAAGAGTCTATAATCGGAATACAAAGAATAATATGTATATATATATATATTTCATATATTAATAGGTTGCATCGAAACAAGGCTGTCCGTGAACAAATTGTGGAAAATCCATCACATACTGTATAGTTGATTAATCATTTGGATTGGTCTGCTATTAATTAGGCTAAGTTCGAAAATTCATTTACCACTAAGGATGGAGGGCCAAAATCAAGAAAATGTAATAGATAATTGTTTTGTTGTTATTAATAATTTATCTTGGTGCCTGGATAAGTGTTTTGACAAGGATATTTATTGATGGCTAAGTTCGAAAATTCATTTACCACTAAGGATGGAGGGCCAAAATCAAGAAAATGTAATAGATAATTGTTTTGTTGTTATTAATAATTTATCTTGGTGCCTGGATAAGTATTTTGACAAGGATATTTATTGATGGTGGAGAAAGCAGCTTCACGCAGGAGCTGCTAATTTTGGATTTGTGTTATTGTATAATTATGGTTTCTATCTGATGCATTTTAATCTTCCTCAAAATAAATAAATAAATAAAAACATATAATTTTTTTTATTTTCTATAATTTTGAAAATCTTAATACATTTTTAGAATGTTGTCAAACCTTTTTTCATATATAGTATGCAAATTTTATTTTTATTTTTTTAAATAGAAGAGTAAATATAAACATTACCACAGCAGTGAAACGCATTTAACAATCAACACATTCACAAAGGTTCCTTGCAATATAACATCTTTTTAAAAAGGCATCTAAAAAATAATCATAGACGTATTTGTAGAATATCCATCACAGAACTCAGATAATAAAATGGCATCCCATGAAAGTATCAAATTTAAAAATAACATAACAGCCGATGACTCTAACCTTAGATTACAATTCAAGAATTCAAGAAAATCACAAGCTTGGCCATTTTAATCTGCTCGAGATTGGCCTGCTCGGGATGAGAGAATGATCCCAACAATGAGACCGTAGAGAGCCAGGGCTTCAGCAAAAATGAGGATGAGGATTATACACACAAATAGCTTCGGCTGCTGTGCATTAGCCCTGAAAATAATAAACCCCAAAGAAGTAAATAGAATATCCCCATAAAGCCAAAGCAAAATTTTTAACATTTTACTCATCTCCCAAAAAAAGAAAAAAGTGTGAGATGCTAGAAGAGAAGCCGAAACATTGAGCATGAGACAAAGTTCATTGCACCAACTGGCCACAGAGAGAGAGAGAGAGAGAACATTGAACATGAGACAAAGTTCATTGCACCAACTGGCCAGAGAGAGAGGGAGATTTTGCTCACAAGGGAAACCACCTGTTGCCAGTCAACCCCATAATTGGCAACTACCACCCTCTTCCTCAAATCAAGTCTATCATTTTCCATGTCATACTTCACCCAACCACATACCAGAACTAAATTTAAGTGCTTTACTAGCCTAGCCTCCTAGCCAAACCACCCCTCCTTACAACGAGAACACACCATTCCCAATTGACAAGATGGCATACAAACTACATTCCTACAAATTGCACAGCAAAGCTCTGTGAAGTAAACCCAGAAACAAAAACCAAGTGGGTAGGGAGACTGTTTAAAAAGTGCAAGCTTAAAGATAAGTTCCATAGCAATAAGTAAGAATGCTACCAAGTCATCATACTTCGTCTCATCTTTCATGTTAGTATATTATATTAGTGCTTGTAATGATGTTAGTAGTGTATAGCTGTTAGTAGTGTATATTTCCTTTACTTTTACTTTACTTTATTAGTGCCACTTTCGGCTACTTTAGGCTCCCACTTTTGGCTCCTCTCCTATATAAACGAGCTCAATTGAACCTTTGTAATACAACATTCAATATATATTCAATACACAATTCTTTCTCTTTCTTTATACATAAAACTAACATGGTATCAGAGCTATAAGATTTAGGCCTATATTCCTTTCTTTCCGGCGGGCAGCCGGCGGGCAACCATGCCTTCGCTGCCCGCTGGAGTTTTTCAACACCTCGCCGAAGCAAACCCAAAATCCCTCTGGGACATTTCGTTGAACACCATGTCTGCAACAATGATGGGCGTGGAACATGCTATCATCCAACATCAAGGGGGTCACCAATGGCTTCCCTCTCCGAATCGAAGTCCAGAAAGTGATCGAGAAGCCTGTGGCTTTAAACCTCAACTTTCTTCGATACATGTTCCCCAAGATCGACTGGAACGCTCTCGTCGGAGCCTCTCAGCCCATGGGCTACCCTGACCTTCCCGACTCTCTCTCTGCTTCTTCAAAACATCACATTCTGATTCAGCTGAACATTTCCACAAACACTTCGCCACACTCTTTGACAGAACAACTCATCACAACCCATTTGTTAATTTCAGTCTTCAATGGCTGATTCATCTTCAACTCCTCTTTCCTTCACTGAAGATGTGGCTGTGACAGCCGTGAACAAGCGCTACGAAGGTCTAGTCACGGTTCGAACCAAGGCGATCAAAGGGAAAGGAGGAAAGGAGCTTGGTACTGGGCACATTTCGAACCCATCTTGATTCGAAACCCAGAGACAACTCTTCCACAGGCTGTCAAGCTCAAATGCACTCTCTACGACTCTGCTTTTTTCGGCTTCAAACTCATCTCGCACTGCTTCGGAGCATCTCAAGAGAGGGACTTGCCCCAATTTCACTTCCTTTTTGAAACCCATTTCGTCAA